GAGGACAGAGGAGTTTCTGTAGTTTTTGCAGTTTTATAATAATATTTATTGAATCAACCAAACATAGAGGATTTATGAAAGAGTCATGTCTTTTTAAGATGCCTACCAATGCATTCCTATGACCAATTTGTTTTAAAATTTGTGTCGTGCCAATTCTTGATTATCTCCAATTCCTTCAATTGGTTTTTATGATCTGATGTGTTTACAGGGTAGGATTACAACTAAATTCATTGAAATGATTTGCTAGATTTGCAGAAGCAACACAATGTCGAGCTTCTGGTATCACTTGAACATAGTCGATCTTTTTAATACTTTAGTATTGAAGAGTATATTTAATTTTGGTTGAATTCAGTGATTTTACTCTCTGCTCCTGTTGATGACTCCCCATGATGGTTTGCTCTTTCAGAGGTTTTCACAAAGTGGTATGTTGTCTTTATACTTATATGTGTATTAGTTTTGATTCAATTTTGTACCTTCTTTGGGTGTTTGTGATATAAATGATGTATCATAGATGTTTCAATGTTGTAAAGAGTTGTTACTATTGTAATGTGTCAAACAGAAGCCTTTATTCTTGTTATAGCAGCTCAAGCATATATGCACAAAACATTAATTTTAAAAAATTATAGTGACTGGAATGAGTGAGATTTTTAGGATACTTGTATTTACATATGATCGTGATGTCTTTTGTACCTTTTAGAGCCCTGCAGCGCAGAAGATGGCTGCTGGTAGAGTAACTGATAATCGAAAACCAGTGATAGGTTTTAATTCAGACCCCAGGCGCTCTGAAGGATATCTAAGTCTCAACAAGAAGTATTCGTCTAATATCGAGGAGGCTGTTCGAAAATTGAAACAGGTTCGACTAATGTTATATATCAAGAATGTAAACATGCTTGATTAGACTTAAAATCTAAGCTCAATTCAAAAGAGGCAATCATTAATTTGTTGGAATTGCATGTTTGCACTTGTGATGAAACTTATTTAAGAATAGAAATGAGGGGCGAGAGTTATCAGCTAAAAGAGATTAGTGCTAATGGGTTCAAAGGTTATAATTGGTCTGTGAATTGGCACTGTCATCTGTAGAGCTATATCTCCTGTCCCTGCATAGATTTTCACAAAGCAAGGTCATTTAAGTAAAATAAAATTCTGTTTTTCAGGGAGAATTCAAATGGCGATTCAGGAATAGAGTTCGAATCATATTGTGTGGAGAAAATGTTTATGAAGATCCTGTTGAATTGCATGAGCAAGAGCTTCTTGGTTCAAATCAAAGGTAATCTTCATCATTATTATGAAATGTCTCTTCTACTTAAGAGAAATTATAAAGGTGTCAGAATGTAAAACCTTTCCATCACACAGATTCTTTAGTGCTGTCCCAGAGAGCCGGCTTGAAACTAACACTGAAAAGCCTACTGAAACAAATGTACAAGAAAGGAGACTTCCAGTGCTTGCTCTTAATGAGGTATAATTTCTTAAATATCCTGTTAGATTTAGTTTGCTATTTTATCCTAATATAACATTTTTTTGCTTGTTTTCTTTTTTGTATTGAAACAGGTTTTTATTGGAGAGAATTTATCAGCAAGAGTGTCCTACTATGAAATGAGGATAAATGATGGACCAAAAACAAAGATTAAGAGTTCAGGTCTTTGTGTTACTACTGGAACTGGTATGGTTCATATATTCAACACAAACTATTATATCATTGTAATAAATTGTGTCTTAAATTGAGTTTGCTAATTTTTGTAGGTTCTACATCTTGGAATCTGAGCATCAACAGGCTCACTCAACAGTCAGTATCAGAAGTCCTCCGTCTGCTGCGTGAGAAAAGACCTGATCTGTCCTCAATACCGCAGGGGTCTGAATTGGTTCAAGAACTTGCTGAAGAGTTTAATAGCAGTCTTGTCTTTTCTGCTGGTAAGTTAATTACAGCTTGAAACCAGTAACTCAGAAAACTCAATGATCCTCTTGCTTAAAATATTTGTTGCTCTTGTGTTCCAGAGGATACAAGGATGGGATACACAATAAGAGATTTGATATCAGCTGGAGTATGGCCCCAACCCAAAGGGGTTGAACCTAGAGGATTTGCATCTCGCATTGAAGTCAAATCCCGTTGCTTGGATGCAGGTCTTGTTGTTGACGGTGGACTCTCTTTCCGTTTTAATGACGGAACTGTAGCTATTCTTGAGATTCATGAGAGCGATGCTCTTAGGACAGTAGAGCTGAATGAGCCATAATTCATACCAATTGATTCAAGAAATTTTAAGGAAATTTGAAAAACAGTCTTGGCTGTCTTTGTATTTCTTTCTTTTTCTTTCTTTCTTTTTTGTATTGTAACCCTAGTATCATTTCCTTCTTTTATTTAATATGTGGAATAGGAAATAGAGAAGATCATTTACTATGTGTGCTGATATTTTTTGAATCATATTTGCCTTTTCTTAGATATATTTGCCTGATGCAAAGTAGACTTGCAGATTAAGTGGTGATCTATGAGCTGTGGTGTTCTAAAAGACAGCCTGAAACAAAGCCTATCATCCAGCCCTTTCATTTACGTACCATAAAACATGTTAATTTGAGTTTCAATTTTGCTGTTTCTATCAATGTGCATGACGATTCAAAAATTAAACGTGCCGTAGTTAATAGGGTCTTTTGGTTGTTGTAATATGGGGCTGGTTTATCTTAATCCTTTGATGTTAAGTGACTGAACTCTGTCTTTTTTTCCCTTCCTCTTTGAAGGTTGATTTGAACAGATAAGTGCTATGTAAGTTAAGTGTTAAGTTTTATTTTGTCTAATGTAATACTCAAAAGAGCAGGAAAGTAAGAGATGCACTTCTAGT